GGCCTTAGAGGATGAGAGGGTCACCACTAACATAACAAAAGACCTTCCTTGAATTTATGTCTAAGGGCATTAACGAGATGAAGTTATGGTGAGGGACCAATCCCGTAACAATTTCAAACCAAATGACTAACGGCATGGTATTACTATTTCCTAGGGGTGTTCATAACCGGATATCCGAAATTTCGGATACGGATTTCGGATATCCGAATTTCGAATATCCGAATTTCGGATAGTTGATTTTTGGTATCCGATTCCGTATCCGAAATTTCGGATATCCGAAATTTCGGATACGAATTCGGATACCAAAACGGATATCTGAAAATTTGTAATTTTGTTCAAATTTGAAAGTTTTTATATTAGAAAAACATATTTTTATATTAGAAAGACATATGAAGTAATATATGTATTTAATTAAGGGTATTATGAATATGTTTTAGTTACTAACATTCATATTATATGACATATGTGATTAAAATAACATATAATGTATAAACTAAAATCAAAACTTTCGGATATCGGATATCGAATTATCCGAAAAATCTGAAAAACACTATCCAATTCTGATTCTGAAAAACCGGATATCCGAAAATTCGGATATCTAATTTTTCGGATAATTCGGATTCGGAACTCCGGATCGGAATTTTGGATACATATATTTTTGAACACCCCTACTATTTCCTATAGTTGTCCTACAAATAAGATTTTTATAAACAACTAAAAATGTAATTTTGTCTATAAAATACTATAGATTATGAGATAAACGCCTTTTCAAAAAATTTGGGGACATAATTACATAATAATTATATATAAAAAGTCAACTTAAGATATAGGAGTCAATAAACTCATGCAAAATTTATCTTTCCCCCTTTCTCGTATTATGCACCCCTAAGGTAGTGTTTGTTTTTTGTCTGCAGATCTGCGTGGCCTCTTCTGTCTGCGCCGCGCAGACCACGCGCAGACATTAGCCTTCGCAGACTGTTTGTTTTTTTGAAGACTGCAAACCTAAAAATGTCTGCGCGCCCTCTTCTTGGCGCAGATGTGGACCAGAGTCTTCTAACATCTTCAGACATCTTCTAGCCTAAAAAAATATATATATCTTAATTTTTTTAAAGTTTTTTTTATTTATATTTTTTCCAACTTTATTAATGATAAACAATTTGAAAAAAAATTACAAAACTTAAAAAAAAACGTTTGACGATACAAACATTATATTTTTCACAAATTTATAAATAAAGATTTATTACAATAATAGTCGTTGATTTTGTTTATATAAATATGAAAAAAAAAATCATAATATATTTTTATATTTTTTTGCAAAATTTTGTAAAACATTATTTAATACAGTATCGTCAATTTCTCGAGAAAATATTTATGGTACGTTTTTAATGGATTTAATTGAAAAAATCGAAGATTATTTCTATCCATTTATGTATCAAATTCTTGATCACTAATTATAATGTTTAGTTATAACTTTGCAATCAAAGTTGTTGGTTTTTATCAAATATATACGTTAATTCATACCATTTTTATTTTTATTTTTATTTTTTATACAATAATACATAAAAGTTGATCTAGATTCGTTAATTATTTATAACAAAGTCATAAAAATATTTAAAAAATCACTTTGAAGTTTAAAAAAATCAGTTTATTTAGATTTCAGTTTATTATAGTAGCCCACAGATGTTAAAAAAACAAACAATCTTTTTTTCCAGACTGCAGACGTTTGGTCCACTTCTTCTACTGCAGAGGTCTACAGATATGGTCCACAGCCAAAGAAAAAACTGACAGCACCTAAATCTCGTATTATACACCCCTAAATCCATCCCCAAAAATACCAATTGACTTGTCGTTTACACATACACATACACTGTGGATTATCCATAGCCAACGAAACCAGAGGCCCCTCACCCCTTGCTGTCTGCGCCACAAATCCCCAGACCCTCCATCTTCATCTTCATCTTCATCTTCACGTCACGTGCCGTGTTGAATCGGAACCACCTTTATTGCAGACAGACCATGGTGGTGCCGACGGTGATGCTCATCACTCACTTCATCACAACGACACTAGTTTGCTTCTCTTGATATCAATTGATTGATTTATAATGGAAGCCGCACAGGGACGTCGTTTGTCCGTCATCGCTTCTCATCTTCGCCAAATTCCCATTCCACCAACTACGACCAATGTTTCTTCATCTATTGTCTCGCCCTCTCATTGCAATTCCTCAGATTCTGAGAAGCTGCGCAATCTCGAGGCTGATTGTGTTTTCTGTAAGATTATTCGAGGCGACGCACCTGCTTTAAAGGTATACCTGATTTCGGATTTCGTCTTTGATTTTGCTTTGAGTTGGATTTTTAGCTGTTTCCGAATCATGCATTATGTATGATGCTTGATCGAGTTACTTGATGAATTATTTTATTCCTTTGTGTTTGTTTAAATGCCCAAATTTGGAGCAAATATGGACTTTAGATTTCTCACTACTCATTGGGATTATCATAAAACCTCTGCAATAGCCATTAATCAACAGGCCTATTTAGATAACAAATAATCATGTATTTAGGGTTTCAAGCAAATCAGAATCGTATTTGTTGAAGTGATCAATTTTGTAACAATTTCTGTTAGGTCTAGTAGTCTCTAGTAAGCAAAGCATGTGACAAATGACTTGCACGCAAAGGGCCTCTCTCACATGGTATCTAACCCACCAGTTTTTCTGCCATTTTCGTGAGCATTCATAACTTATTTTCTTTATGGAGTTGCTTTTCACATGATTCTTGAATCCATGGGAATTTTCCCTCATGGTTGTCATAGTCTTACTAGTGGTTTCATTTAGCTTTAATGTTTCATACATAGTTTGTATGTCTAGAATCTAGATTAACATAATTTATAATGATCAACTTTCTTATTGTCATTCAATTTCATCTGCTTGCAGCTATACGAAGATGATACATGCCTATGCTTTTTGGATACAAATCCCGTTAGCCCTGGGTAAGGTATCATATCTATAATATACCATTAAAATTCATTGCATCATTATATGTACAAGATTTGTTTATAAAAGTTTTTACATTTTCATGTAACAATATGATATTTTGGCCCAAGTAATTTATTTTCCATCTCATCAGGCACTGTCTTATTATTCCAAGAAGCCATTTTCCATTTCTGGTAGCAACTCCTCCATCTGTAAGTTCTTACTTTACAGATAACAAATTTTAATCTCACTTTGAGAAAAAATTTAAAAAATGTTAAAATGATTTGGTAATTGTGCAGGTGGTAGCTGCCATGTGCTCCAAAGTCCCTTATATTAGCAAGGCAGTTATGAAAGCCACTGGTTCTGGTAATTTTTTGTAAAAAAAAAAAAAAAGAATATGAACAAATTTCAAGATTATTCCCTAAATATTAATTGACATTTTCAGATTCTTTCAACTTGTTGGTGAACAATGGCGTGGACGCAGGCCAAGTTATATTTCATGTAAGTATCAAGAACTGATAAATACTAAATAGTTAAATAAAATAAAACTTATTTTTTCTTTATTATTTTATAAAATGTGTAAGAAACTGATGAATGATCTTGTTGTTGTTGTTGTTGTTGTTGATTTAGACACACATTCATATAATACCTCGTAGGGCACGGGATTGCTTATGGGCTTCTGAGGTATATTATTATTATTATTTTTTAATAATAAGATTACAAAGTTTGAAGATTTGTAAATGAATTTAAATGTGATTTTATTGATTACAGAGCTTGAAGAGGCATCCATTGAAGGTAGACAAGGAAGCTATGCATCTTGTTAATGGCATTAGACAAGAATTGTCATTTGTGGATGGATTTGAAGATAACACTAGTAAAGATCATGGTGGAACCACTCTCATTGGAAGCTGATATCAGGTTTGATTGGATTCAGTTATTGTAATTTAATCAAAACATTTGCAATATTTTTGGTTTGTTTTTATTTTTTTAAAGTTGGTTGATGGTTTGGAGTATAAGGAGTTTTGCAACTTGTTTCATCTTTGTTCATAGTTGTGTTCTATAATCAGTTTATTATATTGAAAGTTTTATAGATAGAATTAGATAGTGATTCATCCTTTCTGAAACGCAACATACAAGTCTTAAGTTACTGTTTTGTATGATGAATAACTTCAGTTTTGAATAAGGGCAGAAAAAGGTTCCCTTTTTGCAATGAACATGGCAATAAAACTTTATGGAGTTAAAGGAAAGGACCTTTTTTCACAACAAAGCCTAAACATAGGGACTCAATTGTAACATAAAACATGAACCGAAAGTGCAAAAGCTTAAAGATATCTACTAGTTTCCAAATCCATCACGGTTGGTCCTTTTGATTGTTAACATCAAAGGACCTCCATTAATTATGGGTAAAATGGTTATTTTATCTTCACTTTGTCTTTTTCCCATTTTTGTCATTTTATTTATTTATGTTAAACTAGAATAAATTTTTATAATTTTTTTAGAGTAAATTGGACAAACTGTCTCTCATGCAAGGTGCCAAAATGTATGTTCAATATGTGTTTTCAAAAATTAATTCGGATTGTTCTTTAAATTGTAAAAAGTTGCACATTGTCTGAACAACATAAAATGACTATATTTCGTCTTAGAAATTCTTTTTCAATTATTTTTAATGTTTCTGATTAATTTTAGTTATTAAAAAACATTTTAGTTTAATTTGTTTATTTATTATTAATTAATTTTTTTAGAAAGGTAGTAGGGCCCTACCACATACACCCTACCCTCTTTGAATGAACACTCTCATCTCAAAGCCATAAAACTTAATGATCCTTTCCCTTTTCTATTAATCAGAATCATCTCCACCGGAAACCATCGTCTATTGCCGTTGACTACCATTGCCAACCATCGACTACCATCAAAAGCCACCGCTTCTCTTTCATAGACGACCAACACTATTAAAACTCTAATCGCCGACGGCCAACACCATCACCAGATCTGTTAACGTCGTCATCGGAGATGTGAACCACCAGAAAGTAGCACATATATCCTCTCCCTTTCTTTACCAGATCTACACAACCACCACCTTAGATCTAGGGTTTCAACCAAAGGAGATTGATGGTTGTCAAGTGGCGCTAGGGTTTCCACGGAGATCGGCAGTTTCAAGTGATGATAACGTTGCTAGGGTTTTAAGCAACGATCAAGAAAGAACTACACAACCGCTAGGGTTTTAACGGACGGTGGTTGTTTGAAGAGAGGTGGTGCTTCGACGGTAGTGGTTCGTAGCTTGTAGATCTATAGCTTCCACAAACATGATGTAGTCATCAGTTTAGGGTATCTAGCACACTAGAGAGGTGGTGGTGGATTGTTGATCGTTGGTGCCGACGGTCATGGTTCAACAGTGATGTTGTTAATGATGCTTTTTGGTTAGAAATCTAAGCTTTAATAGTAAAAAGGAGAGGGATATATTAGGTCATAAATTTAGGATGGGTGGGGTGGGGTAGGATTGGATTTTTTTTTAAACAAATACAAAATAATTTATAAATAAACTAAAAATAAAATAGGAATGATAATATAGTCATTTTATGTCTGAAAAAGGATGAAGTGTGCAAACTTAAACTAATGAGAGATGGATTGTGCAACTTTTAATCAAACAAGAGGCGGTCTGAGTTAATTTTTAAAAATAAAGACTGAACATATCTTTAGACACCTATACAATGATCAATTCATATAATTTACTCTTTTTTGTAAGAAGTCTAACACCATCTACACCACCTTCAATTACCTAACCTAAAATTAAAACCAAATTAAAATTCCAAACATAAAAATCAATGTTTGAAAATCATAATCAAGATCTTATGTTAACCCATTATTTTTCTTCATCTATAGAATATAAACCAAATACAAGCATGAACTAAAATTAGAAATCATTATCAATGTTAACTCTAACCCCACGAAGATCCAAATCTAATGTTAACTAACCTAACTCCATTACAGAATCTAAAGAACATATCTATGAAATATAATCAAACCAAATTCAAATCCCAAACCTAAATGAAAACCAAAAATTAGAAATCTGAATAATAGAAACAGGAAAGGATGTGTGCGACAAAAAGAGCATACCACGTGGACAAAAGCCGTAATGGAATAAAAGCAAAAATGCATTTTTATTTTGGTCCTAGAGGAACATTCTAAAGGTGTTAATGGAAATGACCAAATGTTGATGAATTTTTGAAACCATGAAGATAATTGGTATCAATGTTTCAAAATTATGATTAAACCGGTAGAAAGGTGTATACCACACAATGTTTTAAAAACCGGTTGGAAACGGCCGGTCGAACCGGTTGGACCGAGAACCGGGGGAGATAGTGGTTCAACTATCACCGGTTTTACCTAACCTAAAATCAAATCAAGATCCGAATCTAATGTTAACTAACCTAACTCCATTACAGAATCTAAAAAACATATCTATGAAATATAATCAAACCAAATTCAAATCCCAAACCTAAATGAAAACCATAAATTAGAAATCTGAATAATAGAAACAGGAAAGGATGTGTGCGACAAAAAGAGCATACCACGTGGACAAAAACCGTAATGGAATAAAGGCAAAAATGCCTTTTTATTTTGGACCTAGAGGAACATTCTAAAGGTGTTAATGGAAATGACCAAATGTTGATGAATTTTTGAAACCATGAAGATAATTAGTATCAATGTTTCAAAATTATGATTAAACCGGTAGAAAGGTGTATACCACACAATGTTTTAAAAACCGGTTGGAACCGGCCGGTCGAACCGGTTGGACCGAGAACCGGGGGAGATAGTGGTTCAACTATCACCGATTTTACGTTGATTTTTGAACCGGATTGAACCGGCCGGTTCTTAGAAAAATTCGGTTGAACTGGTCAAAATAAACCGGTTGAACCGGTTAAACCGAATAAAAACACATGGAAAAGAACCATTTGCATAATAAATTTTAGTGAATTTTTTCAAATCTATGTAGTTTTCTCTAAATAAAAATATATGATAAATGTTATAAATTTTTTTTATGTGTTTGTATGCATCTAAAACTATATTTTGTTTCGGTATTATACTTTATTTTTTTTTCGACGTATATGGATTGATGTAAAATACTAAAACTTATGGTTATGTGTTGTTTTAATGTATTTGGAGTGATCTACAACTTATTTTTATGTATATTTTTAATGTTTGAACTTGTAAACATCAAATTCATTATTTATATATGTATGTATGTATACGAAAATAGAAAAAAAAATGAAAATTATAGAAAGCGGTTGACCCAGCGGTCGAACCGGTTGAACTGGGAACCGGTCACCATACCGGTTTAACTATGGTGGGTCACTTGACCCACCTTTTTTTTATTTTTGTATAACAAGTTATATAAAACTAAAAATTGTGACCTATCTAAAAAAATACAAATGAACCACCTTAATATTTTTAGCAATAAAAAAAAGTGTATAAATTAGATTTTTGAAGTCCATAAGTTTTAAATTTTAATAGCCCAATATCTTTTAATGTATTATCCAATATGCATAGCCAAATACAATTTACAATAAAATAAAAATAGAAAAATTGAATAAAAAATCAATCGTTTCACAGCATGTTAACCTTCGATCTTCAATTTCACATAATTGCCGATCCAATTTGCAACCGCCGGTAAATATATTCTACTTTGTTAACTTTGTGAAAATTGATTAAACTATATGGAAATTTTATTTCCGATTCCAATATTCCATGAGCATCAAAAAGTCGACAAATATCACTATTGTAATTCGTGAATTGAATATTCATAGCTTAGTTGTAGGTTTAATTGCATTCACTGTTGGGTTTCCTTACTTTTCTTTTACTAATTATTGCTTGTTAATATTTATTCCATAAGCATCAAAGGCAAAGCTATTTGGGTTTCACTTTTTTTTTCTTTTTCTAATTATTGCTTGTTAGTATTGATTGTTGTTTATATCGAAATCAATAAAGAATGTCTTTAAAAATAATTTGATTTTTATGCTTATACAATTCGATCCGCTCTGAATCCGTAACTTATATATATATATATATATATATATATATATATACTATCTGTTTCAATTAAATAGTGAACCATGTGATTTTACGTTCTAGACTCGCCACTGCCGGTTCAACTAAAAAACTGGTTTTTAAAACATTGATACCACATGGACTAAAACTATAATTTACACAAATAATAATTTAAAGAATAATTTATAAAAATAAAAACAAAAAAATATAAGAAACTTCCATTCTTGACATATAAACATCAGATTGTCATCTAGGTTCTAACACAACCATACACTATACTGGACATAGTGTTTTGTCAATGGCAAATCTATGATTTAAAGTCACGCGTGTCCAATTCATTTGATGTGACTAAATAAATAGATCATTTTTTATTAGCACTGAGATTGTAATAATATATCATCTAAAGAAAACATATTATTAACTTTAATTCCAACGATCAACATAATTTAAAAAAAAATACTAGTCATACAATTATTCACGAGAAGTTTTTATACTTTGAAAAAAATATATGTAATTCTTCATATCAGGGGCGGAACACAAGCACTACAGCTAGGGGGCCGGAATCAAAACTTCATAATTGAACTATATTATGACATATCAAAACTTCATAATTAAATTATATTAACAAGTTTTATTTGGTTCAAAATAATGATATATCAAAAGTGTAAACAAGAAAACTAATATAAAGATTGTTACAAAACTTGAACAAATATATATCTTAGACCAGCTTCAATGGACCGGCAAAATGGTGATTTGCCGGCCAAAAGAGCTCCAACCGACCACCATCTTCAACAGCAAAATAGTGATAATGAACAGTAACACACAAAAATGCTGAGACACTATTCATGAACGCCAGATACATTAACTAATATAATAATGATTTTATACACATCTAATTCATTTTAAAGTAAGTAAAACTGGATTTCATCTTTATTGTTCCTTCTTTATCGCTGTCATCTTGTATTTCATTTATTTATTTTTCATAATGAAATTTGAAAGAACCTATCTCTTTCTTGATTTTGAAGAATAGAAACTGTAATTGAAATGCAGACTCATTTTTACTAGTTCTTCAACTTGATTTGGAAATTGTCAACAAAGATTTTTGAGTTTAGTAGGAAAATTGGAGGATGAAAATGGTTGTTTCGAGAGGAATCGTTTCAATAAAGAGGATAATATTAATTGTGAACTCACAAATAAAAAATACAGAAAAAATATTTTGTAATTAATAAATTAAAAATATGTTTTTAGTGTATGGTTGGAATGAAAAAAAAAAATATTGAGAAAATTACACCATTTTAGTGTTTTTATTGTGTGAAGGTTGGAGTTGCTCTTAAGTCCAACATATACCATGTACAATTCTTATGAATTTATATGCAAATAAATCAACATTTACTTTAAAATAATGAATAATAAACTAATCTCTACTCCTACTAAAAACCACTTGTACAACTTTTAGACTAAGAATCTGCCACGTGGCATTATAAGAAGCAATTAACAAAAAACTTTCCCGCCCAAGTTGTTTTGCCGTTTAAAACCTTTTCACTTCAATTCAAACCACTTAAAACTTTTTCACTTCAATTCTTTAATTCAATCAATCACGGGAAATCAGTAATCTATATTAAAATCTTTAACTATATCTTGCCTAAAATCTCGGTCCCATGATTCTAAATTTGATTTCAAAATCCCTAACTTTGTAAATCAACATATACCATCTTCTCAGCATATCCATCTCAGCTTTGAACTTTTAGGGGTGTCGTTGTAAACCCTAGGGCTTAAGGAGACGCACCCGACTTGCAAATGGAGAAGCCAAGATGGGATCTGTAAACTTTCGAAGTGACAACGAACTTGTCAATAAAATACAATTGACACTGATAACAATAACAGGTTTTT